GGCGGGGCGGGGCGGGGCGGGGCGGGGCCGCCATTCCTGCAGCCCGGGCCCGACTCGAGCCGAACTGGTCGGCTTCTCTTTGGCACGGTCCGACCGACCGACCGGCCCATGGCGTGGACACGTTGGACACGTCATGGGCCGCGGGGGAGACATTTGGGGGGGCTCTTGTGAGGGGGGCCGAGCCCCGGACCGGTGGTGGAGGCGCTGGCCGTCGCGACGGAGGCACTATGAGGGGGCTGAAAAGCGTCCGGGACTCCGAGTTAGCGAAGTCCGGACCGGACGACTGCGTCTACACTTAAAATCTAGGGTGTCCATCAGCTGAGCGACTGAAGTCAGCCACCCTCTGGGGGCACCTTCTAGTTTGCACCGTGTACCGTCTGTAAAGGCAATACACCCCAGTGTTGCGGGTTTGCCTACCCGATCTGCCCGTAAGGCGCCATAGCCGCCTGGGTATATGCAAATCCGCAACACTGGGGAGTAATAGCCTTTACACTCGGTACCGTGTCGACCGTGTCCCGCTACGGCACCTTCTGGCCCCTTGTGAGTAGGCAACGCACCCACCACGGCTCGCCTGTCTGCGGCACAGTATTACTAAATTGTGCTCCGGGGTCTGTGAGACGCATATGTAGCTTCTTTTTGACTGGCCGGGAGAGAGGGGGTGGAGGGGGGATTGCCCCTGTCCTGCGTACTGCAGGCCCTGCAAACCCTGGAAGTGACACCGCTGGCCTCTAAGATGTAAATGGACACCCCGCACAGCGACACTGAGGTTATATGCTTCTTCACCTGGACGCCGCCGCCGGTCGCCGGGCCCGGGTGGTCGCCGGGCGGGGGGCCCGGGTGGCCCTCTCTCAAAGGTGGAGCGACCGTTTGGGCCCGAGGGCCAAGGCGGGCCGGGCCGGGCGAGGGCAGGGGCCTGAGTCACTCAGCTGTGTCTTGCAGGCCTCTGCTGCAGCCAAGGTCAGTTAGGCCCCTGAGGTGGGTGGGTGGGGAGAGGGACTTCGCCGGCCCGGGCATGTACTGTGCGAAATGTGGGAGTGGTGCGCCGGCTGAGTCAGCATTGTCTACCGGCTGTGTGTGTCTGTGTGTGTGTGTGTGTGTCTGTGTGGGTGCGCTCTGCAGCATCGCCAATGGACACTCCCCCCCAAAAAACGAAATGAATTAAAGATGTATACTCTTGCCGAGCTGAACTCTGAGCTCTGCTCCGCGCGGAGAATACAACGAGCCTTGTTTTTAATCTCTGGCCGGGCTCCTCCGCCGGGGCTCGGCTTCTCGGCCGGTCGCGGGTCGAAGTCGATCAGCTGTCTCGTCAGGTGGAGTGTGTCTTCATCGGCGGCGCGTCAAAATACAGTCGCGCTGTCGTTGAACCAACAGCAGCTGCCGCGGCTGCACCGCACCTCCCCCCCC